AATATACGCAAAACACGTTCATTGGTCATCCAAGCCTCTAACAATCGCGTGCCAGTGTTTCTGGCGTTGTTCAGCTTCTGCTTGGGTCGCTCGGCTTTTGGTTGATCGGTACAGTTGGCCTATGGTTTGTAGTCCAGAAGCTGTGACACGTACACGCTTTACTGACGTCACCTGGGAAACTTGATTCATCACAGTTGTCTGGAGACTGGAACGTGTAGCTCCGTAGTATGCGTTATCTTGTAGGCTAGGATCACCACACTTCACTCGCACGTTATTCCCTGAAAATCTTCACATGATCAATTCGTGAAATCTCCTGAAAGGGTTTGTTTACAGATAGTCTCCAGAAATCTTTGGGATCCATAATATGATGACTTTTATTAGGCTCATCAAATTTGCAGATACCTGATACTGTGTATTTGATCCTTCGGTGTTTGCTTCTGTAGAGTTCACTCATTTGGGGCTCAATAATTCTCCACGTGTGAAATGCAACCTAGTTGCGAAGACAATCACGGTGTGATAATTGAGAAAGAGAAGAATAATTGTCATCTTGAGTGAATTGAAAAGTGAAATGTCGGCTGGGCGCACTCAAATAGTATGATATCGTAGCCATTCACTCAAGGTGGTCAGACCGTGTGATTTTCGGGGACAGGGGTTTTGTCTTCCAATCCGAATGTCTACGATCCTAGTCTCGGAAAGAAAGAGATGTTCCCGCAGCTGAAGAGGACACTCTTTGTCGAGCATCATAGAATAGTTGTCTTCACGATGCCTCTGATGAATAACTTCAGTGTTGCATACGGGGAAGGATGTATTCACACCACTGACTTCTTTTCGATAGTATATCTTGCAATGTCTCCAGCCAACGACGACCTGAATCATTAGAGCTCCAGACGGAGAGTTGATAACCCCCGACGGACGCCAGATCCGAACACAGTCTCTTCAACCCATCCCGCTGCGTCTCCCAGTCCGAGCCAATGTCTGCAAATAGCGCACGGTAGAGCAGCCGTTATTAAGACATCCACTGGCCACAACTACCTCAGATGGTGCAGTGAAACGATATTGACCAGCGGATGACTATCAAATCCTACCGCACTTCGTCTGACCTCATCGTTACTCGCGCGATGCTCCCCCCCCCCATAATCGGGTGATGTAGCGCAGACCACGGTTGTCGAAGAGATTGAACATGATCTGTTAAGAGGGGCCAAATTTCACAGACGTAAAGCAATACGGTGCGTGCCGTTATCCAGTACACACGCCCTTTCAGTGAGAGGCATATGTCACGCTGGTACCAGAGATGTCACGGATGAGCAAACGCTAACATTGCTTTAGTTAAGCGTTGGTAGATCTCTCCACCAACATGCGTAAAACATCATTCATTCAGCGAAACTAATGAAGTTAACCACTTGCTACAATGCATGGGATATCAAGCAGAGGCAGGGGTGGCCCTTCAGACCTCAAAATCTTGCGCCTACGATCTGTATTCTCTTTACGACAATGGGCTTATTTTGTAATCTTCCATTCCCTACCGGAATTTGAATCTCACGTTTGGTCTGACAAGACCACTCACATGGAATTAAGACCGTTAAAAACGGTCAGACCCTCAAACTTGGTGGTAATAGGCAAAATCCCATCCTAATGGATTGTTTTTAATGTTACGAATATTATTTTCACTATTCCACGGAGTCCGTCAAGTTGAACCTGTCCTTCAGATATTATCCATGCTTTTTTGAAGAATATTCCCTTCGCCGAAATTTTTGTGATCACCACTCTTGAGTATGAGTGTGTCACTTTGGCGATCATCAACGTCACCATCATTACCGTATAACTAGTCGATTTTTGGTTGTCGGATACATAATGGACACAGCGATTACTTCGCGTCTGTGGAGGCAGACTCCAACGGTTAATTCCAACCCAGATATGGCGTAACACAGATAAATTACGGTCACATTTACAGCTGTCGATTTCTGGAATCTTGTAAAATCAATATGCGTTGAACAGTCGATGATGGTAAAATTACATAACATCTTGCCCGTTCAGTTCCATGTGGTATTTTTTCCGTACAAAGAATGAGCCGAAAAATTAGGATCTATTGAACGGTGTACGAAATGGTGGTGGCGTTGGGTGTGAACAATTCAGATAGACATTCACATTTCTGGCATTGAGTGGCGGCTGACAAAAGATCTGTCTCGAAAACGCGATGGCCAGATGGTCAAGGTCACTTGGGCGGTGAAGTTGAAAACCTGGCACTGCCAATCATATTTCTCATTTTTCTGTATGTATCCAGGCCAGTTTGAATGGAAGACACCCCATTTCCAAAAACAGACTCCACATTAGAATACTCAATAATGATAAAGCAAGTAAAACATTGCTATTATTACCGTTATTAAACCCAGAAAAGTGGAACATTTCTTTGTGCAGTCACGTAATGAATTGTTTATGTTGTTTGAACTTCTTCATATCACGATAAAAGAGCTAACTTCAAACAGATCGTCCTTGTCTTAGTTCGCGGATTAATGCAAATTAGATCAACTTTGTGCCTATCTTCAAAATACATTTTGAACTTATCAGCTGATTCGTTTCAAGATTACACCAATTTTCAATGCTTTGAATGACCATTCCGAGTGCACTGTACCTTACGCGTCTCTTCCGGTTTCAACAGTACTTCAAAATTTCGTTGCAATCTGATCATTTCCGCATAGAGTCGTTCGTGTCGCAGTTTGTCCTCATCCGCACCGCGCAGAAACCCAAAGTGTGAATCGGTCGGACACGTGAATTGAACACGAACTGGAATGTGGTTTGCACTTCTCAAACGAAATGAGCGTAACGCGAGTACTTGTGCGTGCATAATGACCGGGTCAAGGATTTCTTTCTGGCTGGCACAAATCAGCTGATCCGGTTTACTGGTGGTGGTTGTGGTTCGAGCTCTGTTCGCGCGGTTCTGATCCAGTTGTGATAGAAGTTCACCGATTCCCAAGGAGAACAAAAGGCCATGGACGGACGTGATCGACTGTTGTGTCTCAATCAGTGGACAGTCATCCACGTCTAGGCATATTCTGTTTTCAGACAAATGAAAAATTTGAGTGAGCCATCGGGTGCTCACATACGAGAACCGTTTCATTACAACTTCACTCACTGGTACTTCCACACGTTTTCACAGAGGCTAAGGTAACTTAAACTTACCTTATACATCAAACGTACAATGAGAGTTAGGTAATGGCAAAATTTTGTCAAAGATTGTACCGATTCAGTGTGTTAAAATATTGGGAACTAACGTGGTCAAACCAGAATATTAAATCAACGGATATAGTGTTGTTAAATCAGCACAATTTTACATTTTATTTGGAATAAAAACGGTGAAATGATATCACTCGATGAATGTCACATAAAGATAAATAGATATGAAAGCAAAGATGACAATAATATAAATGAAAAGAGACACTCTTTTTCGCTTCAAAATATATTCTGCAACTACTTTCTATGCACTGCCATTCAGTCTCATTTATCAGCATAACCATCGATCTTAAGTACCCTACAGCTAGGAAAGTTTAAGCAGTACAGAGTGTTATTACATTGACCTTGGGGTTAGCTTGATCAAATCCCATAATGAAGAACCCCATTTCCCTCTCCTCTGACACCTCCATTTGCTATATTTCTTACAGCTCTTGATCGACCGCTTCTCCACATTTGTGTGCATAGTTCATATGATCAGGTATTCGATAACAAGCAATATAGCGAAATATTCTGAATAATTTTATTGTTTGTTGCTCTCAAAATCGGGTTACAACACCCCTTAACGTCAACCAATTTCGTCACTAAAATTCTTCGTGAAACAGTTATACAGGACACGCGAGTTTTTTGTCTGTTTTTCTCTCAAAAGAAACTAGAACCGGTCACAAGTTTGAGACGTAGAGCTGAAAATCAGGTGCGACATTTGAACTGGGTTGTGTTTTGTCACCACAGGGTATTATATCACGAAATAACTAGGTTGAGATGCTCCGTCCTCAGTATGAATTTAATCGTTGAATCTTCAAAGTTAGAGTTCACTCTCCATTTTCACAGTTTTTTATATTTCTGCTTGTTGGTCCGTTTAGGACTTGGCCCAATCAAGGAGAATTGGCTACAGGCGACTGAGGAGACGCGATCCAGAACACCGAACACAACATGGTGCTGACTGGTTCAGTTCNCACCGTTCAGTGGATAAGATGACCACTTCATCTATTTTATTTCAAGTAACGTTCGCTCATGGGCAAATTGCAACATATCAGTAGCGTAGTGTATAAGAAGGAATGCGAGAACGTGGGAGCAGTTCTACTCCCCGAGAGTCGGCCACATCCTAACAGTGAATGTAACATCGTAAAACTGGATGGGTTTAATATTTTCTGAGGTGACTGAAATAAGAACTTTTGAAACAGAGATTGTGCAATGGTTACCATTCATCAATAGAACACGGTGAAAAAACACTGAACTATATTTTCAGCTCACTGCTGCCAAGAATAGTTCTGTTTTCGTTTATTACTATTATGCTGTACTAGCTAAAACGGCTGTTAACACGCTTGCTTCTGAAATTAGTTTGTTTGCTGACTCTTTTGGCGTACTGTTTGTGGGTTTGGACCAGTCTCTGTGCGTTTCTGCCGGTGTTTTTAATCCTTTTGACGGATATTTTAATCAAATGGTTTTTGGCGGCTTGAAAAGTTCAGAAAGTATGGGCGGCGTCTATGCGTGGGTTTGAATCCAATTGAGGTTACTGAAGTTTTCATAATTACAACATGGGATATTTTTATCTCTTTAGTTATAGTAAATCTTGTAAATTTTCCCACCCGACTCGCTTTCCAAAATGATGACGTTTTCGTGAACAACCCTGAAATCTATTTCTGTTGAGAATGTGCTCCAATCAATATCTCGAACAAAATGGATTCTGTCTTACATTAAACAATGTGTGATAAATTCTGTCATCCTCAACTACCTCGTTTTGCCTCCTGGACCAAAAAGAGAAATCAAATTATTTATGACCCAACCAGATTTAAAGATGTCCCGGTGAACAACCGCATCATTTTTATGCAATGTAAGCTGAATGGGACAATAGGATAATTCTATTTTTAGGCTAGCAGGTAATAACAGATCTGCTGAAGAAACTAGATTAGTTAAATGTAGTAAATCGATGGTTCCACGTGATGCCAAATCGTTCTTTAATCAATGAAAACCCAATGAAATGCATATGTACCGTTCTAACCAGCTCACCGCTCTTGAAGTCCAAAATTGGGAACCTTGACACGTTCGACACAACGCAGCACATTTATCGTGGTTCCCAGTACTGCACAATAAGCTCGAACTGTGGAACAATTTGAGCTCGGAGAACTACTGCAAATCGATATTGATAATGGTCAAAAGCAAGGGTATTAGCACCTGATCATTAATATTTAGTTTCCGACGTAAAACGTCATCATTCCTAGTCTGGTTTGCTACAGAAAGCATTAAATCATTCCTGGATTGATGTGTTTCACTTTGCGGTTACAGATGGGATCAGAGAAAGTTGATAAACATCAACCAATTTAGTTGTGAATCAAGGATTTAATCTAGTTCTTGCTTTTAGGCTTTGGAATACAACACCATGCTGAACAGAATATAGAATACGATAAAAGGAAAATATCTATCTGAGTGGACTAAACGTATGCATTGATTCCGTTTCCGTTTCATTCGTTCGGTGAAAATCTCTCACCCTTACCCCCGCCAGGATTCAGTGGGTTAGTGCGGTTTGCGATTGTGAACCGGATTCTGGGCTGTTTGGGTTAGTTGAATCTGCTTGATGAATCTCCCTTGAGGAACAAAAAGAAAATCACCAAAACCGTTGCACCAAAACCATTCAACGCGTTTAGCACTTATATATCGCTTTGTAGGGCACACGTGCGTACCGGAAGAAATTACCGGTAGACCGTCAAAAGTAGAGATCGCTGTGTTAATTTAGATGCGATAATTCTGATGTGCGATTTGTGAGCGAAATCAGAAGCAGTTTAAACATAACTAGTATCATTTCAAGCAATATATCTTTATATTCACGTGAGAATACGAAAATTTACTATGCTGTGTAAACAACCGCTCCTAAATCAGACAACCAGGCAATTTTCTTCAGAGCGAATGAGGTCGACAAATCGGAGTTAGTCACCACTTTTATGTAATAAAATATTTGACCAGTGAAAGATAATCGATTATTGACATTGCTTGAAAAACAGATTGAAAAATAAACCCACGAGACCTACACTGGTTTTTCGAGATCTGCTGATATGTCCAATGTGATTCGGTCTGTTTCTAACGCCAGTGTTCGATAAAGAGTATTCGAACCAACAACCTTGTTTGTGTTGCTTTCATCCGTCAGCTGGCCCAACGCGCGGGCTTTCACACTCAACCGATTTCCATGACCGATCATTTCCACCGCTTCGATCGGATCAAACACAACCGCTACTTGTCCCTCTTCTAGTGGACGTAGCAACAATTGTTCCGGCCGAATGGTAAACAGTCTGTTGAAAAGCTTCGGTACGGGAGCGATATTGGCACCGCTCGATTGCCAGATCAATTGTCCGTCATGAGGGTGCACTAAGAGTTTGACAATGTCCTCTGAACCGGAAGCAAGAAATCAATAAATGTTTACATATATATATACATATATATACGTACATATATATCGCCAGTTGGCGAACAAGCAAAGCAACAACAATAATTATAACAAAGGGTGAAATAAGAGAAAACCTCGTGGAGAACAAAAGCAATACAGAGAACCAAAGGAACAAGAACCACAAGGACTTTTGGTTTTTTTCACCATGCACCTTTTGATAATTTAATGTTTCACTGTTAATGTTGTGGGACACTTTACAGCTGACGCGCCACTGACTTCTTTTCTAAGTTACATCTCTAAGCGTCCCGAAAGAACGGCATTCCACATCCCTTGGGCCCTACTGTTGAAAACGGTCTGTAACAGGCAGATACATTGCTAAAGCTAACTTATTCATACTCTTACGCCAGCCGTGATCCCATCGCGACGATAAATGAACAGAGAAAGCACGACAAATCTGGCTTGTCAGCTATTCCATTTGAGCAAGCTGCTCAACTTTGAATTGCCGGGAATGCAGCGTACAAAACTGCACACAACTCCTCTGGTTTTCGGTAGAAAATTTCTGGTTTTCTTACTGAGAATCCGATTTCCAAGTCATTAACACCCATTCGTGAAATAGAACCTCCTTAACAGGGTGAATGTTTTTCAAAGGGAGCACTATTTTCCCGTACCTGGAAAGGAATACCAATTTGGCAAAAACGCACCTTGGTGGAGCCAGAAAAGAATTTGATTCCATAGATGGGCTAGTCAGACGAATGAGGAAAATTCTTGCAAACAGTGATCTAGATTACGTTGATCCCATTACGATGTCCATACCATTACATAAATAGCTTCTCTTAAATGAGCGCTATCACTGATTCACATCGGTCTTCAATTATTGCCACATATAAAAGCCTGTGACCTTGAGATCCGTGTCACTGGGGCTGGGTATTCAATTAGAGCCTTGAACGAAAATACAATCCCCTTATTACACAGGTGAATTCTGTTTGAGACACACAAACACATACCAACCTTGGGACTGTTATCGTCTTATCGCACCAACAACTGATATCCATTTCCGGCTTTGTGTATGAGTGATAAATGATAAGCAAGCTCATCTGGAACTACGCTGAACTAATTTGGACTGAGTGGTAATCTATTCACCTTGAGGGTACCGATAGCGTTCTATTTTAGTGAGTCTGGGTACCACGGAAATCTACAGACTATGGATTTTGGGGCCCGACACTTCTCGATTCCTAACAACCTAAAAGTTGTGGTACAGATTGTTTTGTTTTGATAACCCTAGGAGTTGTGCGTGTTCGCGAAATAAGAACCACACAGTACTGGCTAACATTCGCGTTGTGGATTAGGTTGTTAGAAACAGCGATGACAACTGTTACGAGCAGGTAGCATTGACCGGATTTCTAGTTTAGTTCGTTTAGTTATTGACCCAACAAATAAATAAACACATTGTAGAACGAAGTTGGAGTTTATTACCACGATTACCCCACATAAGGTTTGGCTGTTTTTGATAATCGGGGCGGCGGTGGTGAGAGTGTTAATCATTGTAGTTTTATAAACATGGTAGCCTCATTAACCGTTGTCAAATGCAGCTTGCAATCTCACCTGGTCCGCTATCGTTGCACGAGCGCGCATACAGGTCATCGCAATCGTTCATTTGCCTCGTGTCCGCGGTCGAACAATCAGGTGAGAAAACAGGTGTGGTGAAACAAACCACGTCCAACAGTTGATCCGTTTTCTTGACCGGGGCATCCAAGAATATTTGCCAATCAATACGGAGTGCTGATCACGAGAAAGGTGGTGCAAGTGCAATAATAAAACAAACCATCGCATGATCCAAACATGTTCAACAGACACTGCATTGACAATGGGATGATGATGATGAAAACGGTAGTGGGTTTTCGGTTTTCATGCAAAGCGTTCTCTGAGTGGAATAATTTGTATTGCTGTCAGGAGACACGGACATTTTGAAAAATATTAGTTTCGTTTATTGATAAAATATTGATATTTGTCCTTATGCGATGACAGTTTTTGTGCATGACGGCCAGAATTGAGCGTGTGGAGATACCAGACTGATTTCAAGCACGACTGATCAAACGGAATTCGGAAACTACATCGAATCGTGGAGATATAGAGAGCCAAGGCGGTGACCCCTAATACGATTATGTGCACGGAGGGCTGTGAATTCGGACTGGAATACGGCAGGGGCTTGCGGAGAAGGCCAATCGGTAAAAACGATCTTTTGATAATCAGGTTAATCGGAACTGATCGCTTTCAGTTTGGAACAATGATTCCTCCGCCTACAAGAGATCACAATAAACTGAGAATGGGTGGTCATGCGATAGCGTCTGGGGTCATACAAAAATGCGACTGCAGCTAAGCCGGACTGATGAGATGATGATGATGATGACGATTGAAAACCTCAGATTTATGAGAAAATGTTTCGAAATAAAAGGAATCGGAAGTTGTGCCTCGAAAACTCATTCAAGATCTCGTCACTAGTCTAACTTAAATGGATGGAAAGATTGGTAAACATGGACGTAATACAGATTAGTAACGAATACTTCACACACGTCCCGGAAAGGGTATCGCGACGTTTCTGGGGTTGCAACCTAGTGCGAAACTCCACTGATTATGGGGTCGATTTGTTTGTGCTACAAAGGCGAGGGGATTTCCCGTCGATTGTGTAATTCGGTCAGTACTTTAGTTGTTAACTATTCGAATTTATCACGTTTAGGATACGTTGACAAACATGAATTTTCCCTCAGTATAAAACGTTCTAATAAGTTATCACTATCTTTATTCAGAAAGTCATACGAAAATTCCCGTGGCGAAATAGTTAGTACGTTGGTTGCACTTTTTTGCTGTGTCCATTGATCCAGGCGCAGTGTGAATCGAACCAGTACGATTTATCTGACATAAGTCTATCAGTGGATAGAGCAAATGACCTTCTACCTGCCATGCGTACGGGCTGTTTCAACGACCAATCAGCTAAACGCATGTGGCAACTGGCTTGTCTGGGCTGGTGTGTCTGTCTGTCCAACCGGCTAGGAAAGGCAGGATGTGCGTCGCAAGAGATCGATAGCCCTTGGGCTAAACTCCGGTTTGTGATCAGAACGTGCGGTAGCCCAACCCAAGAATTTGTGAAAACGGCGCTTAGACACAAGTTCGCTCGTCGGTACGTCGGTGGCCATGTGAGAGAGGTTTTTGTGAGATGAAAATGGTAAGGAACGAGAATGAAGCACGTTTAGGGAGAAAATCAGCCGAATTTCACCGTCATTCAAGCGAGAAGGATGTACCATAAAACTTGATTTTAGTGCATAGTCAGTGGGAGAGAGGGAGATGGAGTGACGTCACCACGTGGTCTTGGCTAGTGCGAACTATAAAAAGAACACAAATTAAGGTCACACGTACCTTACTGGTGAATCTCGACCGTTTTATTGATTTATACCCCTAGTCAGGGGAAAACCCCAAGAACGGCACCAATTCATTCGAAATAAAGTGGTGATTGATTGTGCCCGTTTAGAAAATTTCTCGCAAATAACACTTTCCATTAGGAAAGCGCCAAAAATAGCCTGGTTCCACTGCATTGCGAGAAGTGAATACCTAACAAGTAGCTTTTCTTTTGCTGCTTTACAGAGAATGTACTGCGACTCAATAATAGTCGTGACAGTAATTGTGATTATCAAGAACTCAGCATTCCTGTGACTTTAATACACGTGCTACGTGCAGCCATATTCCACAAATTTGCAATCTTGCTCAATGATTTATTATTTCAAATTATTCCTGTCCCTGGTGCCTAAGCGAGCTGACAGAAGCTCATTTATCAAAATGCAAGCCTGTTGAGTGTTCCACTAAAATTGAGTTGAATAGCTGAATGTCAAATATATTTTGGGGGAAAGTCATTTTTAATGAGATTTCATTTACACAGAGATTGTCTAGGTCGGAATTATTCATCATTTATGCAAATAATTTGTGTGGTATAATCATGTTCTATCGCCCTTATATTATATTATAATATATATCACAGAAGCCTGAGGCCAAACGGTGTGCCAAACAAATCGCGGTACAGCAAGCCTTATTGAAAGATAAAAGTTACACTATTTACATGTGGGCGATATACTGCCAGGTTGCCTTTTTGTGGTTATGTATCGCTTATTCCCCCACTCAATGTATTAATATATTTTCGCCGACCCAGAATTAAGAGGTTTGAACCCAACGACCACCCCNCCCCCACGCCGAGCTGCACCCGCACTCGTCTGTGTGAAATAGCAGCACGTTGAAAGTCGCGCACGCAATTTTCTTCCGAAACGGAATCTGAAGACGTGTGTATATCACGCCAATTGCCTTAATGATTTCATTTCTATTCCTTACAATGGTTAAAATTTGCACTTTCTTCATTTGTTAGTTCATCTATCAAAAAGGATTACAAGGGGAAGTAGAAAGAACGAGATAGTCATACCAAGACGAAGGTAGGGAAAATGACAAAAATAGATAGTTGCTTAACCGCACAGAACAGTTGCATGCCTGCCGCTTGTTACAACGGTCACACATATATCCTTTAGGATCTCCAGCAAACGGTTTGATTGAAACGAAAAGCAGAGTTTGAGGAATTTCAAACGGTTGTATGAGCTCATTTATTGATTGAAGATTTTTTAAACCATAGTGCTCTCTCGTTTCAACTAATCATGATCATTCTGCAATCATTGTCTAGGGTGGCAAATAGCAAACGTTAGTGACATTTGTCTAGTGATAGACACAATCCATGCACCGATTATGGTCAGTGGTGATGCATCTATTGATGAAAGTTTTATTCACACTTGGATTGAAATGATCACCTATCACAGAACGGTAGTTGAATCTGTTGAACTTACTTGACGAACTGGAGTTGTACAATTTAATTTGTCTCACTACCGGTTGATCATCGGGTGAACGCGATCCAAAACACACGTGATATCGGTTGGCTTCCGGTAAAATCATCTGCGTGCCGAGATCTTGTGCTCGGGTTGTGCCTAGCTGTCTACTGATACTGTTGATCACCTGTCCGAATGGTCTCAGAGCAACCAACACGATCGGACAGCCAACAAACGTGTAACAGATAGGCACTTGGACCACGGGCGGTTCCGGTTCATTGGAATAATTACCGACTGAGGTGATCCGCAGATCGACAGTATCTTTGTATCTGCCCCACATGTTCACAAGGAGAACAAAACAGATGCGAATTCGACTTTGAGCAGGCAAATTCCACCGAGACTGGGCAAAGTACCTTGGTTCAGTGTGTTTTTCACATTCAACAGGTGAAACGATTTTGCATTCGGTGGGGTCATCGTCGTGTGAAACAAGGCCAGAGTGGGCGAACAGACATGCGCCAGCAGTTTGTTTGAGAAATGCCGAGCACCAGTCTATAAGGAGTGAGGAAGAGGTGGTGGGTGAATAATGGCGCAATGAGCACAGATATACCCGCAAGCTCATCAACTTCGAACCCCTTAGACCCAGTCGTACATTTGATGATTAATGAACATGTTACGGACTACCTTAATTTTTATTTCAACCAGTCCACTCGAAACGGTCTTCATCCATAAAGACAGATATTCATCACTACTACTCAAGCAGCTACGCAAGAGGAAAGAACAGGCCTATAAACAACGACAAATAATCCATGTCAAGCGGCTTACAATTTCGATCAAAGCTGAAATAAATCGGTTTAACAAAGTGTACATCGACACTATCCTGGGAAACTCTAGTTGTCGTAGCATGTGGAGAGCTATCAACCGCCTGTGTGGCAGTACCTATAAACACAAAAAGCAAACCGTCGACGTTGAAAGACTAAATTCCGGGTTTAGTCCAGTTTCACAGAACCCTGCCAGACTTAGCCAGCTCTACACCAACACCAATTATAGAACCTGCCACGGTCCTTCAACAGCTACTGAAAACAACGTTGAACTAAAAATCTGGCCCGGATGAACTCTCGCCCGTGGTACTCAAGGTATGTGCGGACACTCTTTCAGTCCCATTCTCTAAAATATTGAATGACTGTCTGACAAACGGAAAAATCCATGATATTTGGAGTCTGGCCAAGAGAACTCCCGTTTCAAAAAGGGAACCTGGGAAGTATCGTCCCATTGCCTGCACGTCAGCCATGCTCATATTATTTGAGAGGTGCTTGTTACCATGGGTTGCCACTGAGTCTGCGGAAGACGATAAACATTAATTTGCATATCGTTCTTCACGCTCAACACGTGATGCTGATGCATACCTTGTTCATTCAATAATTTCAGCACTAGACATGAAAAGTAAGACCGTCAGAATGGTGTTCTCAGACTACGAAAGCGCTTTCGGTAGTCGTGATTATTCGTTATTACTCAACCGGATTACCGAAAATGGTATTAAACCAAACGTTAGCAGAGTGATGCGCGATTATTTCACAAACGGAAGGCAGTTTACGTGCCTCAAGGGCAAAACTCCTCCGCTAGCCCAGTTGCTTCTTGTTTTCTGCAAGGTGCAATATTTTCCCCCTTCTTCTTTTCCATTTATGTCAAACAATTTCCAATTTCTACTGCATTCGTTGGCTGTAAATAGTTTGCAAAGCATCCACCCTTGAAGAGGTATCCAAAATTCAAAGTAAGCTAACCGACGTTGCTACTTGATCCTTGTCCCGTTCCCTCTCATTGAATGCTTCTAAATGTCAGGATGTTGTGTTTTCCCTCTTGGCCGATGTACCATATTCAGTCCTCACAGAGAGGTTCCCCTCCCTCTCTGACAATCATGAACCATACTGAAGTCAACAATACAGAAATACCCTGGCGTCACCCTATCACACAATTTATCATGGTTACTGCACGTTCAAAACACATTCTGTAAAGTTAGAAAGCTTTCATATTTCTCACTCCGATTGAGATTACTTTCTTTTCGCCACAAGCTGATTGTTAAATTTGTGAATGCATGCGCGCTGTCCCACTGACTGTATTGCTCCCCAGTGATTTTACCCGGTTTGTTGAAGAAAGGCTTTTATTTACTGGCGAGATCTCTGAAACACATTTCGAAATGTAGTGCCATTGTCTGGGATAAACTCGCTGATTCTATCATAGACAGACATCAACAAGCATGTGAAAATTTCACTACCAAAATACTCTCAGACACTAACCACAACGATTTTTCAAAATCTATATTTACATCATCCACACGCTCGAGATTTAAAATTTTATTTGCACGTACCTCTTTTCATCGTAATTCTGTTTTGCCATATCTAGCACGTTTACATATTGACAAGGAGAACATTTCCACAGAATTGTGCAACTGATTGCTTCATTGACAAACAAAATCTACTGCTTTTAGTTTCATCATGTATGATTTTGTAAATTTGAATCCGCAAATATGGTGTAAATGCGGCAAATTCACCCATCCGGGTGGATAAAGCTACTACTGATTTGACATGATAACTTGTATTGGTTAGAGTCTATATTTGCCAAAATGAACGAAGACTACTTATGAGTAGTCAGCATAACAAAGTTAAACTCAGCGGAATGTATGGATAAGTCTGCGGAGTGCGTTTTAAACGTTCAAATGATGGAAATGTTCCTGAAACCCGTACCCAAGACTATCAAGAGTGTCTTGTGCCTCTCAACAATCTAATGGGATAATCAAAGCTTGATACTCTTAATTGATTGAGCCATTCGCACAAGGTGATAACCGTCGACTGTGTAGCTCAGGGGTAGGGGTTTGAATTCCCAACCCGAATGTTCGTGGTTTGAGTCCTGACAGGAGCACAAAACGTAAGCAGTGCCAACGAGTCGCAAACAGAACAAAACAGCTGTCTAGTGCTCCTCGTCGGTTACCACAAACATTTCCATTGCATCGGAATGCATTCAACTTGTGGGGAATCGACGAATGAAACCCGCATCCTAAACAATTAAGAGATCCTAGTGCCTCTGAACATTCGAATGGGCTACTTCAAGCTTGATACTTTGAAACCCGTTTTATACGGCTCTGAAGGAACGAAAAAACGGTTCTGAGTCTTGACTAATTGCAACTTATATTTACATCCAGGAAGTACTGAAAATGAATTCTCCTAAAACGTTGAACTAACACCAGCCGTTATGTAGTTATTGAATGGTACGTAGATGCTTACTCCATGATTCTGTCGTTTAATATTGAATGATTTTTCCACGAGTTATTGAATGGAGAGCAACACGTTTCATGGATATAAGACAAATATTGATCGATAAAACATGTTTCTCGATAGAGGACTCACCGAAGAATAGACGTCTTTCGCTTTGGCGCTGTTCCATGAGCAGAACCTCAGAGTTACGTTGAACCGATGCACTCAAAATGGAATGATTAAACACGTCCTGGATATTCAGATCGTAAACACCAATTGGTGGATTATAGTGAGGTGGTGGCTCAACCGTCCGCTTTTTTATTCCAAAATGTTTCACTTCAGTAAGCACTGTAGCGTTTATCGGTGTTGGGTTGTGAATTTCGATCCAAAATGATACTGGATGATGGAGCAGCATCTCATCGCCCATGCTCAGTTCAGAATCCTGGACAATAGGACAGAACATGGACGCAGAGCTCACCAAAGTTGGTGACCAATCATTCATGTCCGCGTTACTGAAAAAGTAAAATAAAAGTTGGGATGGATGAAAAGAAACCGAAACGCAAACGCAATGCTGAAGCCACTAAAATACTACATCATCCAATTGACAGAACTGGCCTTTTTTGCAACGGATCCAAGGGTGAAACGTTTGCATTTTTGCTTGGTCCATTTGCATAACCAATAGTCTGGATTTTAAATTATTTCTTTCTGATTGATGCACGGTGGTTGTTGTCAACCACACAGGTCTATCCCAGTCTGTTATTTACTTTGTCCTTTTGTTCGATGGGAAACTGCCAAGGGCTCTGGGAAGCGTCAGCTCACATATCGCAATAGTGATCAGTAACGTTTGTCCATTGACAACATGTATTTTATTAACTTCACATTACGATTTTTGTGGAAGCTCTGATTGGCTTTTGATATTTCTAGTATGGTATACTCGTTGTTTCATATGATATATTTGTCTTAGAAGAGAGGAGGGAAAACGATCCTCACTGATGTTCATAATTTCACGAAGACAGCATGCTTCATTGGAGAAAATGTACATGATCCACCAGATCAGAGCAAGATATCGATTTATCAGTGTGTTCGAAGATGAAAAGCTCAGCTACTTCGACTATCTCTTTCAGTTTCATAAGATTATCCAGATGCAGGTATCGTTTTATAACCTAATAATCTTGGGTTCCAAAACAAAATCTCTGATTAAGGTTACTGCAAATTATGATTGTGCGAATCATTACTGAAGGACACATAAATTTTTCGGAGTAAAAAGGTAAACCAGCCCGGTATGAAAAATGACAGTGTCTTTGAGTCTCATCAGTTTCGGTGCTGTACATGCAATCATTAATCAAACACTTTCGTGCGGCTGTAGATGTTAAATATGAACTAGTGTTTAATGAGAATCCTTACTCACCTTACTGAAGCCTATTTTCGTTGAGCCTGTGCTCCTGATCAATCAGGTAGCATACTTTCGAAGCAACCGTAGGGATAATCTCTTAAAAAACAGAGTGATCTCAATCTGAGGAATTGAGAAACAAGTAAAACTGTCATAGAATGCTTAAAATTCTTCCGGTGAACATGTTGAGGATATATAAATATTGAAATATTTCCAACTGACTCATATCTTTGAAAGCTGGTGCTGAGATGAGCAAGGTGCGATGGCTGCAACGAGCCCGAAAAGATGGGTTGTGCTATGTATAGTAAATGAAAAATGAAAAACAGTCTGATCCGCTGCCCGGTGACTGAGTGGATAGCATGCTTGAGTTCTGTCTGTGAGATCTCGGGTTCAATCCCCAGTTGGGTCGATGGGTTCGCAGTTTTGATAAGACTCCATAGGCTTATATAAGAATATCAATGCATTTATGTGAGGAAGCGGAGTGAGCAAGTGACATAGTGATAGACTGACGTCAATCATCATCGATTTGAGTTATTCTATTTCACTCTGCATTTGTGACACGGAAGAGACTTGTAAAGTCTGTGGAAGGTGACAGTGGGCTATTTGTTAATTTCATGCTCAATATTATCTTGTAGTGAGTCAGAATTTCGCCTCTGGATAAACTCAGATAAATGGGACAGATTTCCATGCACGGGTCAAAATTTACGCCTAATGTTTGACATTTATTTTCGACGCAAAGCGATTGTCTATGTTTTTGTGTTCGTCCTTGAAAGTTTCAAAGTATGTATTTGTACTTGTTGCAAACACATTTTCCAAAGTCATGCACTGCAGAAGTTTCTTTTAAGTGATACGAGATGATGATCAGATTGTGTGACAGGAATTTCTTTATTGACACAACGTCTGTTGTTATGTAAACCAACATGAAGGATGTTGAGAGATACTGACGAAGTCGTAATATGTGGCAGTAATTCGGTCGCAGAATAGAGTAAGACATGACCAATTACAGACGCCCCTTCAGGTTGAAAGGATAGGTCGATCGCATAAGATAGTCGGAGTGAGTGAATTTCGTTCCCTTGAGGCGTAAACGACTATCGTTATTTTCCAAACCTGAAGTGGTTATATTTGGAAAGTTGCTCGGTGTGGAGGGAATACGATGAGAGATCGAGGAATTTCTAAAAATTTAAGGAATCCGAAATAAATGTGGACGTTATGCATGAGACTCGACCTATAATTTGACCAGGGTTTCCAAGAAAACAGTAGCCGTATGGTAGATGGTTAACACTCTTCACACAAAAAGGTTTTTCACGATGTTGTTTTAAAATAAGTAGGGAACTAAGGATTTTACGCACTGTTGATATCCAGTGCTTGTGTACTGCTATGCCTGGTGTATTGTATGTACGTGGCGCATATGTCACATTTCAAAACTGTCGTGCCTAATCAGCTGTCTAATCTGTTTTGGAAATTATCAATGTTAATTTTATCCTTCTATCAGTTTGTCGCCATGCCTAAAGTTCAAATGCATAAGCCGAAAGATGGAGTTCATGCGTCTCATAATGGTTCGAGAGTTGTTGTTGTTGATGCTGTTGGTGGTGGTGGTCGTGGNNGACAAAACGACAAGACACGATCTCTATCGGCACCAACGCTGTAAACTGGTGCAATATAGACACCCATTTGAACTTTAAAGTGTTATAAACATCTCCTGTTCGGAGTGTACACTATTTTGAAAGCAGGGCTTTGATCATAGATATCGAACGGTTGTGTGACCGAGACTGCAAACAAAACTAACGGGTCACACGTAGCCAAGTTTACTGATCAGAATGAGGTGACTGTTTACTTCGACTAACCGGTTACGAGTTGGTCGATCAAAAGTAATTCGGTTTATGCTTCTGGTTGCTCGAAATCGAGGAAATCTGTCTCCTCAGTTGCGATCACTTTCAGTTCACTTCCATTCACCTGTAATTGGCGTGTGCTATCATCGTGAAACTCTCACGCAAGGAATTGACCTTTGATTAAAAAAAAACTGATTTTGCCTCTGATTATGAGTCGGTGATAAGTATTTACCACATTCCAGCCACAAATAAATAATGACAATAACCACATTGTAACCGTAGACAATGCGTTGCTGAAAACTAACAACTAGGCATATTGACAATAAGACTCTGGACTGTCTCGAATCTCCCCAATTTGATGTGGAAACTATAGAACCAAAGACTGGCGATTCCCATTCGGATAGAGTCAGCTCTCCAGAAAACTCCTCAGTCACTCAGCCGCCTATATCTGGATCGGTAAATGTTTTTATGCAATCATACATTCACTGATACCTGACTCCCAGCAGGTGATTAGTTCCCCCATTCCAACTCAGTTATCCGTGGACCATTCGGCAATGGTCGGTTTTCCTTGAATAAAAAGTTACAAGCCGAAATTTTCTCACTGGTCCTTTATATCCTTCACTCAAAAACCCTTCAATCGCACCTCACACACATGCACAAACTGTGTTGGAATATACGGTGGACTATGTGCATGACCATTTCCGTCATGCTCAAAAAACGAACACTTTTGATTAGTGTTTAAGAGATTTGGCGAAACATCCTTCCCATACTGCATATATATCATCCGTGAGTAACCGGGGTTTTGCCAAGTCCATGATTCATGAGCCCAATCAAAATGAAGTCATTGTAAGTATACCGCACTGTCTAATTGAAATCGAAAGACAAATCAACTGATGCATGCCTCATCCATTTCGGTCGTCAAGCGCATTATATGCTTACAGGTATTGGGAAACAGGTTCTCAAGCCAAACCTTTGCAAGTATGGATTAGCCTAGAAGGGCTTTGGGTACAGTAATTAGTAGACCTATTGGATACCCGAACAATACCCAAATATGGCACTTCTGTAGTACGGCAAAGAAAACTGTCATTTACATTAGAAGCCCGCATGGGACTTTCACACTCACTTTGACAGTTGTATTTGTTTCGACTTTTGCATGAACAAAGATTCCGCATCTCAGCCAAAATTGGCGCACATCTCACCGAAAAGGAGATATTACTGCACAGTGCAGATCACCTTGAATGCACCCAACCTAATGCATACCGATTATTGCACCAACTGCGGTAAAACGTAGTCGACATGTGCATTGATTGCGGAAAATGTTGGATTCTACTGGCTAGGAGTAATAAGGAAATTTGTCGGCTGTGTAGGTGAAATTTTACTCACTAGTTATGAATTACGATCACGGTGCAAGTAGATCAAAGTGCAAATGAAGTGCCCTTTAAAGCGTGCACTTTCGAGTGCCAATTTGGAACTCGTCTTAGCGAGGAAGCACACGGTTACAACCTGGCCTAACACTATCATCGGTCATGGTTGTCGAAAGTTTCACCCAGTTTTTCATATCAACCCCTATTATGTGAATGCTAGCACATTCAAGGTCACATAAGTAAGATCAGCCCATGGTCACCTTATGATTGTTCGAGTTGGTCACATGAACAAGTGCCTTAGTAACGAGTCACTCGGATGTGTTTCAGTATCACCGCCGTAACTTATCATTAATTTATCACGTCATATGCATTTTGCTTTGAGCTACTCACATCTATTTCAGTAGGAAAAAGCATAACAAAAACCAATGCTTATGATGAATTTAAGCTGACTTATTTTTTGTTGGGTATTAAGATAGCGTTCGAAACATCTGGAGCGAATTTTAAGTGATACCGAATGAACCAAGTGCGTAGTAGAGGTCTCTTACGTATTGCGGAAACTGACCCTGGTCTTGGCCGTGATCTGCGCACATTCACATTGAGGCCTTCCACGTGACCGGTGATGTGCAATTCTAGTCGACCGGTCATTCCCTGAATTTCACATGGCACGATCAGATCTTCTATTGATTTCTGCAATGGGAAAGAAAATACATGAAACTATTAAATTTTTATTCCAAAAAGTAATTCGAATAGGGTCATATTGGTATAAAAAGTATTAGGGATTGTGACGCAAAGTGCTTGTAGATGATGCCTCTAACTGATGGTTAAAAAGAACGAATCTTATCGAACATGTGCAAACGAGTACAAAATTACTGGGTTGTCAGACAATGGCTTCCCTCATGGATGTCTACCTAGAAAAATTCGTCCTGATGAAATTTTTCCCGGGAAAACGTACCCTAACAAACACCGATTTGTTTGCCACATAAAAACAATGTCGTGCTATTCCCATACACAATTCTAAAATTTCCCAATCATAATGAAGAGAGAAAAACGGGATCCAAACACCTTACAGAAAAAAATCACCTTCATGTAGCATGAAGCAAACACTACATGTGTCTGGTCAAACGTGGAAATCACCTTAGCAGGACGTCACATAATTGCATGCGAGTGTAGATCAACGAACGGAATTTCAATGGGCATTATCGATACCCAATACTGCAGTAGCACTTAACACATATATCATGATCTCGAACAGAACGGCGATGTGATAACAGGATTTTAGTTCCAGTTCCAGTTTCTACCGCCAGCGCATATGATCAGGTTTCGTTCTTCTACACAGCTTTTGATTGCTAAATATGAAAACCTGTAATAGAGAATAACTTCAACTCATTCTGTACACGACAGGTGCAGAAACAACAGTCAAGGAGAACAGTGTACCGAAGCAGCGTTTCATTGATTTACTCACTTGTTTATGACATGTGATTGTCAGTTTCATTTTTCGTCGTTCGTGTGCAAACAGTTTTCCAGTTGGTGGCAAAATTTCAAGGTCCACGTATTTTGCATCCTCACCAGATGGCTTTTTCATGTGAATATAAAGTGGAAGTGAGGAGAGGTTGGTCAATTTTGAATATCTATCACAAGACAGTATAATTTTTAATTCACACCTAAAAGTATTTCTGCCTACCAGGTTCAAACAATTCCGCTCTCACCTTTAATGCATTTTTGCAAACTGGTAGTTTGTGATAAACCCATCACACAAAATATTCAAACACAACCGTTGGGATGAATAAATTCATCTTCAGTTTGTATAATCATCCCCCCGCAGCACTTTTAGGTGACGGTTGGGGTTGTTCTACCTCGGCTATCGACAAATATCGAAGGAATGCATAAAAGATGGAAAATATGAAAAATAATATCCGAAAGCGAGTAAATTAGACCTGTGTAGAAAGTGAGAAGATGCATGTGAGACACAATCAGTCATATTACTTGTTATGTCTAATCATGGATTAAGTTGGTCACGAGGCCCAAGCCAGGAAACCTAATGCAATTGCTATAATCAAGCCTATTGGGTGAGCGTGATTTTCAAATCTTCATTGAATGTAATAAGGTTTGTGTTGTTTTCTTCCAAAAATAATTTATCAGTCTACGAAATTGATGTTATACTTAGATTATAAAATTTGAGATCAATGAATGCAATTCGGCTTATGCTCATGTGTGGTGAACAGATCTGATTTTTGTGTGGATGATTAACGAAGCTCATCAGCCTTCGATCAACTTCGTCTGAGCAGTACTGTAGTTAGCACAGTACGTCCATTTGTTAGGCTAGTGACCAAGTACTGTTGAGGTTTGACGAACAGGATCCCGGATCCACAGTCGGGCTCCAAAGTCAAGTACCCAACTTCCATAGATTACAAAACTTGGGGCTTCTTTACTCAAGTCACTCAATAGACTTCCTGAGCCGGGTAGTGGATGGGAAAAGGTCAAGGGCGGTCAAACTAAGACCTGGCATGAGGGTATGAAAAACCTAAACAGGACAGTAGTTCACATAGGTGCCATTAAGCCCTCTGGTTGGGGACTCCGATGTTGTGGTAGCGGGTGATTAGAGACACTGAATGATATGGCTGATCGCAAACAGGGGCGCTCGCGCATCTACTGAATATTTTTGCACTCACTATATTTATGCATTCTGTATCTTATCTTTGACTCTGCTCTCAACATTTCAATCTTTATCGCACTCTTTTATTGAAATGGGCAAAAAAATGCAGCACTCAAAACCGGTGCATGAAAACGCACGGTTAATGGGTGTAGTCGTAATACGATGATTGGTTATCAAATAGCTTCTCGGAATGGAGCAGTATAAACCATGACTGAACCATAACTGTGGGCTTTCCAGGCAGGGGATCCAGGACTAGCCTAACAGACAGCTAAAGGTATTGGTGATCTGACAATGAATCGTAAACAGCGCATGCCGTGTATCGTTCTACTCGCAACACGAACAATTTATTTGCATACTATACCTCACCTTCCCGCGAATCTCGGCGGTTTTGGAGGGGGGCTGACGGGGAGAATAGCAATCAGAACCGAGGCGCTAGACTGTGTGTAAAGCGGAAATGCACTCGGCTGAATTTGGCACTTCTTAAACAATGCTCCTGATCACGCCCAGTTAGTGTGAATAACTACAACTACAATTGTTATCGGTCTTTTTCTATCAGAGTAAGTCGGAGAATCCCAAACAAAGGGTGCTAGTTCGCTCGTGGTGGTGCTACTCATGACTTAAGGATGATGATGAACCCACAAATACTTTCGGGACCTCAATACTCGTGTTTTTTGAGAGCTTGTTTACTTCTCTCGAGATACAGGTCCACTTACAAATTGTGGCTGTCATTACTAACCTTACAGCCGGTGGTCGTTTCTGTCTCGTTCTAGCATGCTGGAACGTTTTAGAATAGAAACGTTGTTTTATCGGTGTTACGTTGATCTGTAATTGATCGTTGACAAATGGCATTTGACGACATTTTGGTTCTCCTTTTTAGGTATCATCAGCGGTGCGTACGTACTATCTTTGTTTCTCTACCAAGTCTCGAACATCAAACATTAGGACTGTGGATCGAGCTTGTTAACCCTGATCTAGATGGTTAATGGGTAAGGCCTTCCGTGGATGTATATATCAGTTGATCAATTGGATGAAGCCCATGCGAATTCGCTCCAGTTGTATATTGATCTGGTCCTGTAGATCTCACTGCTTAAGAGGTTACATTACTCTCCATTCGCTTCAAACACTGAGAATTTGATAAAATCCAAACATGTACAATACTTTATTTCGAGTTTTTGTAAAGTTGTGACACTGTAGAAACAGAAACGGGAAGTAAATTTTTTTGACCATTGTTGGATACAAGTTATGGTTGGATACAATGTCTTCAAATACTACCGGTTATTTTACACTACACAGCATATCAGTAAGCGTCTACAGTTATAGAAAAAAAGGAATTCTGGACACAGTTGAGTCGATTACCCGCTAATGTTTCAATAAATTGAACCTACCGAAAGCCAACAGAAATCCGCCTCCAAAAGCATTAGGTTGATCAGTGTAAATTCTGCGGTTTGGGGAACACTTCGAAACAACTGGTCCAAGTGTAGATTTGGTGGCAGTATATCCATCATCGGGGTTTGAACTTCAGCCAGTATTTGCCGTGAGCTACCAATGCATAGTTGGAGAGAGAGAGACATTCGGTGGAGAACGAACTCTAGGCGATTTATCTTTAAAGTAATTAAAAACACATTATTATTGTTATAATCATGGCTCGATCATTAGAGACAAAAAAACAGATATTAAGTGACCGTTTAAGGCACCCTTCGTTATTTGAACTAATCAACACATTGCGTGTGTACCTGTCAACTGAGAAATGTGAACATAGTATACAAGTTGTTTTGCGTGTATTTCCCTGCCCACTCCGCAGAGACTCCTTCTGACTAGTTTGAGCGCCATGTCTTAAACAATTATTCCAATATAGATCTCCCTTAAGGAAAGCAATCGGGTTCACACGCAGGCTATTCCACCACCGCCATACGATCGATGGAGGGGCTAACATGGGCTGCTTTTTCAGTCCGCAAGCCCCTCGCTCTAGCAAGTTTGTGTCGAGTGCGTTATTCCCCCGATGTGGTGATTGGTGATCACATTTAATGTCCACCTAAGTTATGTAGCTTCTACTATCCAAATGAAGTACATTATATAGAGTTCTTCAGCAATACTAATAATTGCAGAAACAATTTTGGTCTCAATGCAATTTCATTTTGTCTATTGCATCTCTGAAAAGTATTGAACTTACTGACTAAAGGTCTCATCCGTGTCAGAAATCGTCAGCTTAGTTTTAGCAACCATAGAGAAATTGATAGATAGCTAATGCTGTCACTAGGATACCGCATGGGCTAGTTCACTTTTATACAACCTGATGAACACTCAACAGTCTGTTTCAGGGGAGCAGGGTGCTATCATCAATCTGCCGATGATCTGTACTGCTACCAATTGGTAACAGAGGCATAGTGCTTTCACAGCTTTTCAGTGGTTTGTGTGATACACCATTTCGTTAACGATCCGATCTCTAACTAGTGGGGGGATTGGCCTCTGTAAACTTTATTGTGGCTGAGGAGGGGTGTCTCGGGTTTTGGCTGGTCACCCTTCCCGCGAAATGCTTCTATGAGACTAAACGTCTCAAATAACCTCTACAGAGGGACTATTACTCACTTCCTTCCGTGTAAAGTTTGTTTACCATAGTGAAAAGATGAAAATCCAACATCCGGGTATAAAACCGGGTCGGTGAAACATTTAAGGTATTTGGTTAAAAGCCTTGATTCCGAACCAACCAAGAAGAGGTGCACGAATCACACAAAATTTTCTGTTTGTGGAAGCGGTTGGACTAGGCATGAAGAGTTATTGGGCGCACTGGACATTGATTCTATCGAATGAAAATGGACACCGAATGAATTACAATTTGCTCACACACCATCGCTGCCTTGCGGGTCAAGCTTTGGATCCAGTTGTGAATTCCCCACGAGAATGCACCTACTTTGACCTGGGCAACCTGACAGTGACCCGTCCACAAGCAAATCATGGAACTCTTTTATTCATCCGTTTGTTATTTAAAAACTTTGCTGTGATTGAGGTCCTGCTCCAACGCCTTTAACGTTGCCAAATTACGGTGCATGTTTCCGGTTGCTCTTATGATACGTATTCAAAATAAGGATTCGCTGTTGATGTTAACCACACCAGTGGTTGTGTACTCTCTCCGATGCGCTTGTGACGCATCTTATGTTGATCAAAATGCACGAGAACTATCGACCCAGATTCATCACCCAAGCTGGTTGAGATTAGGACAGACAGGGTCATTATACAGCTTAATCCTAGCACACTTAATCGATACCGGATATCAATTAAATCCGGAGGTCACTTTCAGAGTTGTTTATCGCGGCGTCCACAACAAATGCAGGAATGTTCAACTGCGCACCCTGGCCAGAGCCCAGGCGATCGGAATAAGAAAGTTGACCCCTGACGTCCGCGCCCAAAGGCGTTTAGTTCAATCACTCCAATTTCCATGACCCGTAATTGATCAGTCACCGTGAGACGGTTAGCCAGTTAAACCTATCAAATGACAAAAGCACGTTGACGGTGACAAACTCTTACCCATGATTAGTTTTACGTCTAACTGTGTGATCTGTTTTCTGGTGTTATTTATGCAATCTGTAAGCGACTTAAGAATGAACTACCGAAAAAACGACTGTTCTGCCAAACTTTTTATTTTAAGTGGTGCAATGGGTTCCTTTCTAACGATAATACTTTTATCAGAAGCAAAACGAAGAAGGAAGGAAAACGGACGATAATGATGGGGTGGAGCAATCCCTTGAAAGGTTGTAGTACACACTGTCTGTTTTTGAGAACGACAAACGACGAAATGGTGGATTTACCTGAGGCGTTACATTCATTCAAATAGAATCGATATGGACTCACTATCCTTCACAATTCCTTTTCATGAAAAATCCTCATTCAATTCAGTGGACCATGTACCCAGGAGATAGAAGAGTCAATTTTCACCCCAGTTAG